TACCTCCACATCTTTGATAAAGCTGATCTTTTCAGTACATTTTTCTATATCCTGAGGGCTGGCACCAACTGGTAGCGGTTCCGCAACAGGTGCTGCGAACATATGGTGTCGATCCAAAGGCCTTTCGACCATTCCAAGTAATTCTGGTGGCATACCAGTATTCACTAGCATATGCAGTTCCAAACGTCCATTCTATAATAAAATTGTTTCAGCTGCAGATCCAGATTAAGTACAAATTGAAGCTCTCAAAGTATGCAACTGACAGGCAGACGTACCGACGCCGCCGGATAGCCTCCGGTTCGCGGTAGTACGTAGAGTCCAGTAGAGCTGGGAAGAAGACGTCCAAACTGGCTGAGTTGTTCTTGTTGCCGTTGCTGTTGCTGCTGTTGATGACGCTGCATTGACTCGAGCATGTGGCTGGCAAAAATTGCGTCGTGAACGTAGCGGAGCCCAGCTGATGCCATCTGGGAAACTGTCGGCGGAGTGATGTGGGCAAACTGGGGAGGCGCAGGAACTGTCATCTGCTGGGCACTGAAGAAAGTGCTAGATAAAAAAAAAACCTTTGGGGAGACACATTCCTGAAGAATGAAACCAAAAAAGCCAAGTCAACTAACGCAGGGTGTGTCGAAGCAGCAGCAGAATTCATTTGACTTTGTGCAGCTCCAGCGGCTGCTGCAGCAGCTGCACTTGCCGAATGTGGACAGTAGGCGCAGTAGCATGGCACACAAGCAGGACAAGCTCCTCTTGAGCCACAGTGGGCACACTGAGCAGCAGCAGGGGAAGCAGGGATAGTTGGATCAGCACCAGCCGCAGCGGCTGCTGCAGCCACAAGCTGAGACGTCGACGGAGGTTGATCCGGTTGAATCTGTTGCTGTATCTGAGCTGACACTGCCATCACCGGCTGTGTCATTGGTTCTGGCTGGACTGCCTAGAAGAAGAAAATTCAAAAAAAAAACAGCAATATTTATATTTTTAGAGCGGGAAAAAGCATACCTGGATCTCCCTGGTCCTTGTGCCATCACTCGCTACACGTCGTAATTTTGGTGCCCGCACGGCGGCATCTAACGCTGACTGTACTCGAGAGGAGATTGGTGCGCCACGCTTCAATCGCATCGCCATTGAACGCATCTGTGGAGCCAGGGTGGGCGGTAACGCTGTGTGTTGGCGGGCAATCTGTAAAAATGGACGCTATTTCCGCGGAACGAACGATGAGAAGAAGAAAAAGATATGGATAACGATTGCTGCTGTTGGCTGCATAGGAGAATAGATGATACCAGTAAAAGCGCCAGCAAGATGATTCAAGTAAAGGCAGCAGATTCTTAACTGTGGGCGATGTTAATGTGAAGAATACATGCTATGATACGGATTTTTTATTATTTCCAATAGGCTAGGTGATGCTTTAGTGTTAGGTTTCATGACAGCAGCAATTTATATCCTAAAAATCACACCCAGAATCACGTAATCTGCGTGCGCATATTGGAGGCTTAAGTGATAGACTACATAGAGCGCATTTAGCCAGCACACAGCAATGCTACTTAACTACAGAAATTCAGATGTTGTTCTTCATTTGGAGAAGATGTGCTTTGTTGTACCCTTTCTCTTTTTGTTTAGATACCGCTTCTAGATGAACAACTTCATCTAACACCAATAATGAAGTGTTGAACTCTTAGGCTTCATATCAAAACTATACTCAGAGTGCATATAGACTACCTTGACGTCACAAATCAGCAAAAGTTGTGAGCC